AGAGAAGATGGAGAAGAGTTATTGCCCTACACCTAACCTAACCTCCGGCAGTACTAACGTAACTATGGCAGCCTGGCTAAAATAGAGACCTGGAAGGAAGCAAGACATGAGGGTCTCCATGACTACCGTTAGCAGCTTAAGTGATCGGCGAGAGTGACAGGACGACAGCACCACTAAGGCTGAAAGACCAGAGAGGAGGACGACCAGCAACAGCCGCTGACCAAAGGGGGAGGAGCCACGAAGGGCAGGTGCAGATAGGAGTCGACTGTGATACTTTCATTATTTTGTTGTGAATAAACTTGTCAAATAAATTGTTGTAAAATTACTGTCATGGTTTTCTGTGTGCTATTTAATTAAATCTAAAGCTTACTAGTTCACTACTCACAGTTACATGTGGGAATTAAATTTTCCCACAGAAATGTCTACTGCCTCCTTGAGAACTTAGGAATAAATAATGAATACATAATAAATAATGTAACTAAATAAATAAATATTTTTTTCTTTGCTATAATTAAATTCTTAATGTTCAGTACATTTCTTCAAATATTTATTGAAAAAAAAGTATGACTGAAAACTGAAGCTGTTTCTTCATATTTAGCTTGACAGCAACTTGACATTGTTGTTTGACAGGAAGACAGAAAATTCTGAAGATTTACCATCAGCTACCAGCCAAACCGGTCCAGCTGCTCTCTGAGGATGATAGGAATGTGCTCTGATCTCAGTAGCACTGGGAATAGGAGAACATTTCCCCCTGCTGACAGTGACTGAGAAGAGATTGCCATATTTAATTTTTGGGAAGTATGAATGGAGGAGGGACTACTGGAGAATAGTCGTATCATTTTAAGTCACATAAATACTGATGGTGGAGCTTTAAAGAGCAATAGGAGACTCAGCTCATCTCCAGGGAACAATGAATATCTGCAGATACGCAGGTTGGTCATTTGTAGCCCCTTCTCTCTCTTGTCATCACAGTATATTTTCTTAATTCATTGTTGATTTGTGTAATGAGACTGTATAATTAGCTAGTATAGATCTGAGATGTTGCTGTGTTTACTGATACTTTGAGCAAGGTATAGATAAATCTGTTCAGGGGAAAAATAATGTATTCAGATATGTTTGTGGGGTGGCATGGTGTGGCAGTGGTTTTGGGTTTGGTCCCAGATCCATTCTGTGTGGGTTTCCACCAGGGGCTCCGGTTTCCTCCCATAGTCCAAAAGCGTGCAGGGCAGGTTGATTGGCAAGTGTAAACTGGCCCTGTAATCGTGTGAGTGTGGCTGTGTGTGTGTGCACCCTGAAGTGTGTTGGCAACTGCCCAGGGTTGGTTCCCCCTTGTTCCCAGGATAGGCTCATGACCCCAGTTGGAGATTAAGCAGTTACAGCAGGGGTGTCAAACTGCAGCCCTGGGGGGCCGGAGCCCTGTGTAGCTTAGTTCTTTCCCTGCTCCACCACAAATGATTCAGCTCAACAGCTATGTGGTAATTAGCACAAGAAGTTGATTCAGGTGTGCTAAACGAGGGGAAACCCAAAAATGTGCAGGGTACCGGCCCCCCAGGAACTGGAATCTGACACCTGTGAGTTACGGTGATGGATATGTTCATAATGGCACTATAGCTTCTAACAGTGTTTTTTCAAAAGTCTTTGTGGGTCCATGTGTGTGTGTTGGTGGGCATTTAAAAAGAGCTATTTTGTTTTAAGCAAACACAATGTGGCTATATACAAACACAGTGTGGTTACTTTCATTTTCAGATAAACAGAGCCCTAGCGAAGATCAGGTTTATGAACCGTCGCACCACCTTGACTGCCCCCAAATTAGGATTGTCCTGCTGGGCAAAACAGGAGTGGGGAAAAGTGCAGTTGGCAACACCATCCTGGGCAGGACGGAATTTGTATCTGCCCTCAAGAATGTGTCTGTCACCCACCGGTGTCAAAAGGAATATTGTGACATTTCCAATAGACACGTGGCTGTTATTGATACACCAGGCCTGTTTGACACTGACCAGCCCAGTGAACAAATCCAGAATGAGATAGTGAGATGTATCCAGGTCTCCTCCCCAGGGCCACATGCTTTCCTGGTGGTCATGCAACTGAACAGATTCACAAAGGAGGAGAAGATGTGTGTCGAAGCTCTGCAGGAGATCTTTGGTGAAGAAGCAAATAAATTTATGATCATCCTGTTCACTCGTGGAGATGACCTCCAAAAGCAAACCATTCATAACTTTGTCAGGGATGCTCACCCAGACCTGAAGGGGGTGATCAGGAAGTGTGGGGACAGGTACCACGTCTTCAACAACAATGACTCGTCCAATAGGGACCAGGTGAATCAGCTATTGCACATGATTGAGCGGATGATGGCTATGAATGGGGAAAATTTCTATACACAGCAGATGTACATGGAAGTAGAGACAAAGATTAGGGAGAAGGAGGAGGAGATCAAAGCGATGAAAGCAAAGGGGAAGGGTAAAATTAGCAAGGAAGAGCGTTTGAAGAGAAAGTTGGAAAATGACTGGATACTCGCACATAAGCTGGGTGCTGTGGTGGAAGCTGAAATTGACAAGAAAATCAATGAATTCAAGGAGGAGATTCGAGAGTCTCAAGGACAGAGTCAAAAAAAGACTCACAAAAAGACTCAAAAAAAGACTCGAAAAAAAGCAGAGGAGTCAGACCTTGATTTGAGTTTTGCACAAAAACTGAAGCAGAAAGTTGCCCGGGCTTTCAGGATTACTAAGCAGTAATGGCTCTAACAGTTTATTACAGACATCATCAAAACTGTAGCATTACAAAAAAATTACAAAAAAATCATGTGTTTGTGTTGGAGGGATCTGTTGACAATATTTGCTGATAATTTGACACAGTTTTACAAATAAAGTGCCCCATGTTTTAATGATTTCATTTAAATATGCTTTCTAAACCAAATGTGTAACCATATAGCAAGTTGTAAGTTTATGTCGAATACATTTATATAGAGTGCACCTGTGTTAAATGAATCTGTCTTTTGGTTTTATTTTACATGAATGCCAATAAAAGAATGAAAAAACGGTTTACCCCAATCATTTGTTATGTTACTCAAGATGACCAAAGATAACATGTCAGCATCAGTTTTAAATTCGTAACACATTATGATGTCGTTCATTCTGTTACCACATGCAGGGCTTGGGGGAGGCATGGACACTGTAGCAGATTCAGGGGACCCAGCACTTGACAGAGACCCTTCAATACATATAAATATACAGTTGGGTGGAGGGAGTGTGGGCAACATACAGTGACAGTGCTTTTGAGCACTGTCACCTCACACCTTCTCCAGGGGTCTAATGCTACCCCTCTTCCGTTTGTCTTGCAGTTTGCATCTTCACCTCACTTTCTAAGGGTTTCCTCTCCAGTATCCCCATACAATCCAATGACATGCAGTCAGGCTAACTGGTGTCCCCAAATTTCCCAAGGTGTATGATTGTGTTTGTCTGTCTCTTTCTCATGCAAAGTTTTAAACATTAAACATTATTATCTCTCTTTCCCACAATTATCTTATCCCTGTCTATACTTAAGCAGCCTAACAGCGACTGCACTTAATCTGGCTACTTGCAATCTGTATTTTTATTCGCCCCGTTTGTACGTTACTTTTTCCAAAACTGTCTGCCAAATAAATGTACTGTAATTGCAATGATTTGTTTTAGCTGCCTGAATAAACTCTTTGCAGTCACCCATGTCCTGAGTGCAATATGGGAGATAATAGCATCATTTTGATGGTCCTCAAACTTGGAAACATTTTCCTTGCAAACGATCTGTTTCATAAAAGATGGAAGTTTGATGGCCACACTATGCATCATTGTACTTGGTGAGGGCACATGTAGACTCTTACTATTGTACATATACATCAAAGCAGGACCTTTGGCAGTGGTGGGGGTCAAACCCACACCTCGGAGTAGCCTTAATATAGTACCTTAGATTGCTCAGTCACACTGCTCCACCTTCTCCTCCAATACCAGTCATGTGAGCAGCCATCCAATAGATATCTTAATGATGTTTCAAGATAATGGGGTATATGTTAGAAAAGCAGTTTAAACTTTACTGCCCATGCTGTCGGACTCACTCATAGACAGTGTGGAGTGTTTGTCAGATATTGAACTGAAATGAGCGAGGAGGAGAAAAGCAAACAAGAACTGGTCATCAAAGGGCATTTGTTTCTGCTTTGTGGAAATATCACAGAGGATGACTTTGTGCGAAAGATCTCACAGATAGTTGAGTTACTATTTCTGTAATTGGCAATGATAAGGAGATTGACAGGCTTGGCTTTCTATCAAAAATAGAAGCTGTGGGTCTTTTGCGTGCTACAACTGAATCTGCCTACAAGGAAGTATACAGAAAAATAACGATGAAAAATAAACACATCACTTCCTTCTCGTTAGACATCATTGTCATTATATTTCCTTATGCATTACACAATGTATTAGGACGAATTCCCGGACAACTACGGTGCCTAGAATTAATCATTGTCCTGTTACTGTCATACATATGAGGTGATTGAGGTGTGGATTGATTCTGATCGTGTGTGGACTGATCATCCTGAGATTTGGATACGTCATCCATGATTCACCTATAATATTATTGTATTAAGGGTAAAAAACTGCATAGCATGGTTCCCCCCCCCCCTTTTTCTTTTCTCTTTCTGGTCACTTATATAACTTGTTTTTCACAAATTACTGGTTTCAGAGTATCCTTATCTTATGCGAAAGAATCCTTGTTTTGGAATGCTTACTGCAGTGGTTATCAACCACTGTACCGCGGCACACTAGTGTGTCGTGAGAGATTGTAAGGTGCGCCATGGCAAATTATCCAATTTCACTTAATTGGTCTAAAAAACTTTTTCGAAAATGTATTATTATTTGCAAATAATATGCCATTGTCAAGTGTCTGGGCTGTAATAGTGATGTATTCTAAACAAACAAAGCTATATTTCAACATTACAGAGACCCCCTGCTATACAGTGGTTCAGCTATCGCGCCCCTGCTATATCGTGGATTTTTCCCTGACCCGTCACAGTTCTCTGCATATCGCGTATCTTGCTTGTGGTCCGATTGTTTCCGTTTTTTTTAGCCCTACGATGGCTCCCAAGCGTCCTGCATCTTTTAAACCTTCTGGTAGTAGTGAGCCTAAGCGCCAGAGGAAGACCTTGACCATTCAGGAGAAGGTAAAATTGAATATGCTTCAGGAAGGGAAGCGTTACGCAGACGTCACTCGCCATTATGGCTTGAGTGAATTGATGGTACGATACATCAAGAAGGATGAAAAGAATATAAGAGCCACTGCATCACTTTCCTTTAGTCAAACAGGAAAGAGGGTGGCATGACCTCAGAATAAAGCCATCGTTAAAATGGAATCACATACGTATACATTACATATTATTCTTATTATTATTATTAGTTTTATGTTACTCATATCCTTAGTCCGACATCCACATATCACATGTGTTTAAAGTGTGTGGGAGGGGTGTTTTAAGGCTTAAACTATAAAAAAAAATGTTTATATGGTCTTTCTATATCGCGGCTTTTCACCTATCTGATGGGTGTGGAACATAACTTCCACAATAAGCAGGGGATCACTGCATGTACTCCCATTTAACGTAACTTCCACAATAAGCGGGGGATCACTGCATGTACTCCCATTTAACGTAACTTCCACAATAAGCGGGGGATCACTGCATGTACTCCCATTTAACGTAACTTCCACAATAAGCGGGGGATCACTGCATTACTCCCATTTTCCACAACATATATGTGTGAGCTGAGTTTTTCAAGCCTGACTCATATAAAAACTAAAAACAAAGAGAGACTGAGAGCTGTTGAGGAAGAGCTTCATTTGTCTGTCTTCAATTCCTGCCCGGATATCAGCTTTGTGTTCAACCAAACAGGCTCAGGTTTCACACTGATTGAGTATAAATAAATTGAGTCATTACTAGGCTACAGAGTGTCATTTCGTAACATTTTTGGTTGGTGGTGTACCGTGGGATTTTTTTCAATGTAAAAAATGTGCCGTGGCTCAAAAAAGGTTGAAATACACTGGTTTACTGTATCCAAGGACGCTTACCAGGTGTCCCTGGGTTTTGGAAGGTTTCGCCGAGTATGTTTTGCACACCATTGGTCGGTATGAGACACCTGCCTTGTCCTCTCTTTTGAAAAGTCTTCAGAAGTGAAGAGAAAGCTCTGCTCATTCCTATTTTGATTGAAGGTGCCTAGCAGCAGGAAGAGGGGAAAGCATTCCCCACATTCCGTAATTTTAGCTTTCAGTTAACCCGTTCACTAGTCTGATACTTACTGTAAGATAAGGGAGATAAGGACATTCCCACGGCTTTGAGATGTCAGGCGGCTGGCCCGCTGCCTCAGCTCGGTTTGTTTCTCCCCGTTGGGATTAATAAGCCCATCCTGAACTCCTAACCCTAAACCTAACCCAGTAGGCCGTCGGGGGGGGGGGGGGGGGGGGGGGGGGGGGGGGTGTCCCGGCCATATTCCCTACATCATACGGCATAGACTCCACCCGGGGATACGTGGTTAGAACATGGAAGTAAGCTTCATCAGCTGCTGCCATTAAGGGCTCCTCAAAATTGCATTTATGGTAATCACATTTCTTCCATTCCCCTTAAAGATCCCCTTCTCTTCTGCCAGAAATCCAGTGTCATTTTAAAGATGCAGGCCCAGCCCAGTGCACCCGCCTACAGAGTTACTTTGCAAAAAAACATCTAAAAAAGACAGCACATTCTTTGGACAGATGAAACCAAGATCAACCTGTATCAGAATGATGGAAAGAAAAAAGTATGCAGAAGGTCTGGAACAGCTTATGATCCAAAGAACACTGCATCATCTGTAAAACATGGTGGAGGCAGTGTGATGGCTTGGGCGTGCATGGCTGCCAGTGGCACTGGGTCTTTAGTGTTTCTTGATGATGTGACACAGGATGGAAGCAGCCGAATGAATGCTGAGGCGTTCAGAGACATCATGTCTGCTCAGATCCAGCCAAATGAAGCCAAATTGATTGGGCGGCATTTCATAATAGATGGACAATGACCCAAAACACACAGCAAAAGCAACCTGGGACCTTATTAAAGCAAAGAAGAGGAATATTCTCGATTGGCCAAGTCAGTCACCTGATCTCAACCCTACTGAGCATGCATTTCACTTGCTAAAGACTAAACTACAGACAGAAAGACCCTCAAACAAACAGAAACTGAAAGCTGCTGCAGTAAAGGCCTGGCAGAGCATTAAAAAGGAGAAAACCCAGCGTCTGGTCATGTCAGGGTTTTCAACTAAGTTTTAGAATTGAACGTTTTATTTGCAGTTACATTAATTTGTCCAATTACTTATGAGCCCCTGAAAGGAGGGGATTGTGTAGAAAAATTACTTTAGTTCCCCACATTTTTATGTAATGTTTTTGTTCTACCCACTGAATTAAAGCTGAACGTCTGCACTTCAACTGCATCTGACTTGTTTCTTTTAAAATGTATTGTGGTAATGTACAGAACTTAAAAACTGAAAAACTTTGTATTTATGGTCTGACTGTACATTGCTGTGAGAGATTTTTTTGATAGACTGCCTTGAACTTACATGAAGCCCAGACTTTAAACAATGAAACGCTGTTTACAGTCAGCTGATAAAGACAGAAGCCAACCAACTGGAATGTTCAAGTTTGCAAGGAATTCAAGGAATCCTACCTGGAAGAACTATTCCAACCAACATTTGGATAAAGCAAACAAGTCTGTCTGAGTTCCATTAGGTATATCAATGTTCTCTGAAGAATAATAGAGTTCATTATTTAATGGGAATTATCTAATATTGTTCTATTTTTGGTAAATGTCCATTAAACAGAAAAGATTAAATAAAAAAGACAAAACCATTGTTGTGTATTTTATTTGGACATCCTCCTTTCATTTCAAATTCAAAAATGAAAAAAAAAACATGACATTGCAATTGATTCTATTAAGCTCATTTGCATGGTATTAACTAACCACTTACAAGTACAGTAACTCAGTTTAAAGACAGAACTTGACCTGTCATTAACGCCACTTGAGTCTTAACTCAGGTGACTCACTTTCATCTTAGTGCAATAATATTAATAATAGCCAGTTTTTTAAAACACATGACAGTTAATAGTGTAATTAAGTATTTACATTTTATTTTGAATCATTCTTTTGGCATCTTTAGCCACTTAACACCTGGCATGTGCTTAACACATGGCTTAACACATGGCATGTAGCCTGCCAGACACTGTGTCTATCTGTACATATCCTTTCAGTGTGACAAAAGGGTCACATTTTTCTGAAAACCAGTGTTGAATCTAATTTATCAAATTTAACTATTTTATTTACAACAAAACACATTCGCACATAGTTGTACGTTCTTTGTCCTCATCTCTGTATTTGCCTCTTGTCACTGAGGTGCTTTTTGCTTTAGTTCTGTCTCTCCAGTCATGTTGAGATTTTGTTGCACCAGTGTGGCTCACCTGTGCTTCCAGGTCTCGTTCCCGTACCCCTGTATTGTATTCTCGTCTTGGCATACCTGTTTCATTGTCAGCTTTTGTCATTCCAGCATTCTTTTTGTCACCTCGGTCCAGCATACCATTCACCATGTTCAGAAGCTCTGTCACCTGCCTGCGATTGCTGGTGTCCCTGTTATTGAAGACATGGCACCTGTTCCCACATTTCTTCACCAGGGCTTTGAGTTCTGTCTGAGCATTCATCAGGAAGTCCTGAATGGTGATGCCCTCCAGATCGTCACCATAACTGAACAGAATTATCATGCGGCGTGTGACGGCTCGGCCAAACACGCCTTCAGTCTGCTCCACTATCTTCTTCTCTCCCTCTGTGAAGCGACCCAACTGTAACACCAGAAGATAAACACAGGGACCTTCTGCTACCAAGGACCTACAGGTGTCAATATGGTGCTTACGATGAGGGAGAGGATCATCGAAGAAATCTGGTGTGTCGATGACAGTGATCTGTCTCCCCTGAATAGACTCAGTCTGTTTTTTACACTCTGTGGTCACTGGTTTGGTGCTGAGGACGGACTGGAACCCTTTTCTGCCCAGTATGGTGTTTCCACAGCAGCTCTTCCCCGAGCCTCTCCTGCCCAGCAGCACCAGTGTGACAGCTAAAAGAAAAATAAAGTTTGTGAAGATAATTACAACACCATGCCTGATTTCCAGTAAAACTGTCTGCAAACAATGAGATTCTAAATAACCGGTTGTATATTCCCTTGGTTACAAAGATGTTGGTCAAAAATGTATCATTTCCATGTTGCCATTATTTAAGTATGAATGATAAAGTACTAAAACAATATAAACATTTTCCTGTGGTTTTTCTGTCTCGTTTGTTCCTTAGAGCTTAAAATGAGACTATCATCCAGCAACCTTGCATATATAACTTAACTTGAAAGAGCTCACATTCATAAATCATTCCCAATCAGACCAGGCCCATAGGCATGGTACGGGGTAGGGGGGTGGGGGGGGTGGGAGAGATGGTCCGGCAACTCTACCAATAGTATCCCGCTTTTGAAGGCTGCCATCATCACCTTCTCTCATTCCCGCCTTCCTTTTGACACGATACGTAGAATCATTCCCTTCTATCTCCATTCTCCAAACGGCTGAGTCGTTGTTCCTATCCTGCGCCTCCTGCTTCTCCACATACCTGGTGTTCTTTACACTTAGCTGTGGTGTCTGGGTAACTGGGCCCCCTTTACCTCTGTCCAGCATAACATCAACCATGTTCAGAAGCTCTGTCACCTGCCTGCGATTGCTGGTGTCCCTGTTGTTGAAGACATGGCACCTCTTCCCACATTTCTCCACTACGGCTTTGAGTTCTGTCTGAGCATTCTTCAGGAAGTCCTGAATGGTGATGCCCTCCAGATCATCACCATAACTGAACAGAATTATCATGCGCCGTGTGACGGCTCGGCCAAACACGCGTTCAGTCTGCTCCACTAAATTCTTCTCTCCCTCTGTGAAGCGACCCAGCTGTAACACCAGAAGATAAACACAGGGACCTTCTGATACCAAGGACCTACAGGTGTCAATATGGTGCTTACGATGAGGGAGAGAGTCATCGAAGAAATCTGGTGTGTCGATGACAGTGATCTGTCTCCCCTGAATGGACTCTGTCTGTTTTTCACACTTTGTGGTCACTGGTTTGGTGCTGAGGATGGACTGGAACCCTTTTCTGCCCAGTATGGTGTTTCCACAGCAGCTCTTCCCCGAGCCTCTCCTGCCCAGCAGCACCAGTGCGACAGCTGAAAGAAAAAGAAAAAAGTTTGTAAACATAATTTACAATTCCATGCCTGATTTCCAGTAAAAATGTGTAAAAAACAATGAGATCTTGAAATTAACAACTGTATATTCTCTTGTTTACACAGAGATATTTTACCAAATGTGTATCATTTACATAAGTGCATATATTTACGTATGAATGATACACTGCTAAAACAATATAATCATTTTTTTTTTTTCAACACAATATTTTGTTTGCTTTTTGGCGGGGGGCAGTGGATTCAAACCCAGAATTTAATTTCGTGGATACGAGTCTAACGGAGACAAATAGTTGTATGCAATTAGTTCTTTTTGATTTATTTAATAACAAACTCTTTGCATCTTTTATTGCTTGCTTAGTAAGTAATTAAATATATTAGTCAGTAAGGGATTTTCTCCCCAGCCATTTTAAATTAATTTCGCTGTGAGTAAAACCGGACTTAATTAATGTTTACCTATTATTAAAACTGGACTACCGCACCATCTCGTTTAGGCAGGTTAAACAGCCCTGTAAAATAAAATTCTGGTATTTAATCACTGACCACAGGTCCTGGCCTTCAGCCTAAAGCAGTGTTGATGATTAAGTCATTTGTCTCAATTTCTTTGCGTTTATAGTTTTCATTAAGTAACGTTAAATTAGAATTAAACAGTATAGGCTAATTGCGCATTAATTTACTACTGTAATTCGATCGCCACGATTCCGTTATACCTAATAATAATAGAAATATAGATACGGGTTTAAAATAATAAAAAAAAACATGACGAAATTTTTTAATGCGCCTACAGTATGTATCGTTTTATAGGATGTTCTGTCAACATAATTGTTCTATCCAAAAGTATGTTTTAAAAAGTACATAAAATTAATTCATTAATCGATGCATAGAAAATTGCAAAAAAAGAATACTTACTATTAACCATTTCTGTTTCTGCACCAGGGACAAAACTGCACTTTTCGCCACAGTCTCACAGAGTGATAATGACTTTACCAGGGGGCGGATGCCCTTAATGGGAGGTACAGTCTTACTCGGCACACAAATACCCTCAGCTAATCGCCATTTATCACGTAGGCGGGGTTTCCCTTTATGAACCGAAATGCGTTTCCCTGCCACAGCTCCACGCTCCACTAGAAGCCGCTCGCGGCCGGCGACTTGCCGCCAGACCAGTGATTGACAAACCTGATCTACAGGAAGCGATGAATGTCTGCAGGCACATAAATTGGTTTCATTTTCAAAATCTGTCAGATATATTGGGTATTATAGGGAAAGTCATAATGTTAGTAGTAGTTAAAGGAAGGTCAAACGTGTTATATAAATTAGAAAACCATATGCTTTCATAAATAGTGGAAAATCATACAGTAAAAAAATAAGCCATCAGCAGTAATTATAGGATACTGAAAACAGCATAAATATATCATTTTCAGAAACACTTTGGTCAAACATCAAATATGAGAACAACAACCTGTGTATATGGAAGTAACATATATAAATAATGCAAAAAGCAGTTTTCATGAGGGTTATGTCCGAATCATGATTACTGAGGATGCAGCCAAAACACCGAGCCGTGGACCGTCTGCAATCCTGACTGTTCATACTTCTTACACCAATGTGTCAGGCAAGCATGTACTTTGATACCAGGCCTGGGGTATCACAGGAGAGACAAGTTACTCTATTACGCTATGAGACGACCCGCATCTCAAAATCTCAACCCGCATCTCAAAAGCGTGTTCTCCTGTTATAAAGTCCTTTGTCTGAATCCACAGCTCCCTTGCCTGCTTCCGGGTGCTGTCCCTAACACCTGCAGGGTGTACCTGATAAAGGATCTGGATGCCATTATATGTTGCTCCAAAATTTGTAGATATCTTTGTGCTTTAATGGTGCCCTCACAGATGCCATGGGCACTGACACACCCCACACCGTGACAGATGCTGGCTTTGGACCTAATGCTGACAAACATGGTGGTCTGGCTTTTTGAAATGTTGACCACATAACACAGTTCCACTGTGCTACTATCATCTCGGATGAGACCAAGCCCATAAAGTCGGTGGCACTTCTGTATAGTATAGTTTCTGCTTTGTTTGGCAAAGTCTTAATGTATGTTAAAATTAGGGCTTCAATTGAGAATTTTTCAATAGAGAACCAATACTATTCCTTTCTGATTGTAAAGAACATGACAGCTTTGGTCGTGACGGTTTACAGACTCCCAGAATGCACAGCTAAAATCAAACCAATTCAGTTGGAGTCTCACAGAGAAGCGGAGGAAGGGGAAAGGCGAGGGGTCATTGTTCCTTGATTCATTTCATTTTAAAACATTGACAAACAGCTCATGGGTCAAAAATGTCACAATCTGCAAGATTTCTTTTATTTCGTTGATGAGTAATAACTTAACAGGTCTTTTCAGTCTATCGCACTTTCAGTTGTTGTCAGGCATCTATTTGTAGAGCCTTTTGCCAAATAGGTTTTAGATTTCACTTTCTGTTTTAATTAAGAGCAATGTCATAAGCTGACTAAAAAATGCTGTTTGTATGCAAAGTAGAATGAAAAGGTTTTATGTTGAGGATGATTTGTGTGTGTGTGTGTGTGTGTGTGTGTGTGTGTGTGAGTGTGATGTATTACACTGTGGGGATGAAATATAAATTTACTTTAAAGCACTTGCCCATGAATTGCCCATGTGTCTGAATGGTGCTATACTGTATAAGTAAATTTGCTTTTGTGTTTTTGCTTTGACCTTTTTGCCTGTAGACATTCTGAAGCTGTTTGATGTTTTTGTTGACAACCGTTCACAACCGTTGTTGTGTTGTGTTATTACACATGGCAGTATGGTTTGTGTGTTCTGCTGAAGACACACAATGCTGGATTCCATGTTCATACCTCATACTAAGCTTGTAACCGTGTCTACAGGAATACCAGCTGGAGGAGGCGTGGTCATCGCTAACACGTCACGTAGGAGTGGGTGGGAGCACCGTAGGGGAGTCACATCCAGGTGGCATATAAATATCTTTATAAGACCTGACACACCTCTCCTGCAAGCTCTCTTCAGGGAAAAATGGCTCTGAAGATAAAGAAAGGTGCGTTGAAAAATTGTCTTCAACATGCATTTATTGAACTGGCTTAACTGTGTACCATGTATTTAGAGGTCCTTTTTATTAGACTCTATAATGTGAGATCTTTTTTTGGTTGGATTATTTCGCTGCATTATCTATAAACAGACTGATGATTAACATTGATGGATAAGGTATGTTTATATAGCTTTGCATCTTGTTGTACCTTCAATTGTTAAAGAAGTTTAACACATTAGCATGGTTACTTACAGCTGGAGGTAAAACTAGCAAACAAGAAGGACCTCAACACCCCTTTGACTGCCAACAAATGAGGATTGTCCTGCTGGGTAAAACAGGAGTGGGGAAAAGCGCAGTTGGCAACACCATCCTGGGCAGGAAACAGTTTGAATCTGCACTCAGAAGTGCTTCAGTCACCAGCCAATGTCTAAAGCAACATGCTATAGTATTTGACAGACCAATTGCTGTTATCGATACCCCAGGCCTGTTTGACACTGAGCAGCCCAACAACGAAATCCAGAAAGAGATAGTGAAATGTATCCAGGTCTCCTCCCCAGGGCCACATGCTTTCCTGTTGGTGATGCAGCTCAACAGATTCACTAATGAGGAGAAGATGTGTGTTGAAGCTCTGCAGGAGATCTTTGGTGAAGAAGCAAATAAATTCATGATTGTCCTGTTCACCCGTGGAGATGACCTCCAAAACCAGTCCATTCATGAATTTGTCAGGGATGCCAACTCACACCTGAAGGAGGTGATCAGGAAATGTGGGGGCAGATACTGTGTCTTTGACAACAAGACAATGTCTAATAGGGACCAAGTGAAGGAACTGCTGGACATGATTGACAAGATGATGGCCCTGAATGGAGACAACTTTTACACCCAGGAGATGTATGAGGAGGCAGAGGCAAAGATCAGAGAGAAGGAGGAGGAGATCAAGGAAGCAGCCATAGAGAAGAAAAGACTCCATCGAGAAAAACTAGAGAAAGAGCGATTAGAGAGAGCAGAAAAACTTGCAGTACAGCTGAGAAGTGCGGTGGACCAGGAGATTGAAAAGAGGTTATCTGTAATCAGGATGGAATACGAGCAGGAGCTGAAGGAAGCTAGAATTAAGGCAGAGGAGTCTGATCTCAAATTGAGTTTCTCACAAAAACTCAAGATGAAGGTTTCAAAAGCTTTCAGGATTGTAAAGAAATAAATGGGTCATATTTCTGAATACTCCTGAATATTCAGTATTTCCGAGTAAAGCTGTATACATTTAAGATTTTAATTTCAATGTTGTGTAAGTTCTGCTGACACTTTGAATTGAACTGAATTTTTCATTGTAGTATATAAATATATAACATCAATCTTCAGATAATACTTGTAATTTGGTGTATTAAGTGCTTTTATATTATATATTTTTGCTTTATGCTTATGTCTACTCCTCTTTGAATATGTTGGGAAGTGGGTATTGCGTGAATATAGTTTATTTAAAATACAACATACTACATTTATTTTTACTAACAGTCAAATATTTCATATTAAGATAAAACATGCTCTTCTTTGAGATGCATTAAAAGCTTTACTGTGCTGTCCAGCTCCTGGATGTTTTTCTTGTCTTTCTTCTCATTCCCAGCTAATCTGGTTATTCTGGTTTCGTACCACACTTATCTCATGCTCCCTTTTCATATCATGTTCAAGTTTCAGTCTTCATCAGGATGCCCATGCGGGTACTTTTGCATGTCTTAAGCTGGTTAGTGTCATGGTTCCGAGCGGCTCGGACATGAGAACGTGGCATAGTGTACACAGAAAAAAAGGTGGACGACCCACTGGCGGCTCGAAGAACACAAAAACGGGGTTTATTAAACAAAACAGAAAACACTACAAACACAACAAAACCAAAAAGACCACGAGGGTCAAAAACTAAAAGGGGATTAACAAAGACTAAATAACAAAGACTAAATAACAAAGACTAAATAACAAAGACTAAATAACAAAGACTAAATAACAAAGACTAAATAACAAAGACTAAATAACAAAGACT